AGCGCAAACCATATGTCATAAAAATACATGTACGAGTATCAGCATCTTACTTCATGAGTTAATTGTTTGAAAATCATATGAAAAGCCCCCCCCCCCAAAATTGTAATATATTTTAGATGCTGTAAAATTGAAAGTACATGACTTTTTAATAAAAATTAGTAGAAACTTTTTTCTTGCTAGAAGCCTTTTAAGTCCATACATGTGGTTCGTTCGAGTTTTATGCTTTAAAGTTAGAAAATACTATTTTTATAATAAGTGAGGTAGGTGCGTATAGAATTGCATACAAATAACACCTAATCAGGGTATTTGCCATTTTTTTGGATGACGGCCACTTCAACTATTTTTCTCTAGGAGATTAAACACAGGAAATCAATGACAAATAGTGTAAGCAGCACCGTAAAAGCGCATAGTGAATAGAGGGCCTTATACCAAGCATAACAAAAAGTTACACTATCCCATATTTACAATTGTACACTTTTTTTGCAACACAATTTGACATTGCCCTATGTTTTTTGGCTTGAGCAGTTACTTTCATTAGAGATATTTTTATTTGTTAGTAAATAATTAATTATATCGTTTATCGAATGCCAAAGCAACTCGAGGATACATGGTTGTCTCATCACTAAAAGTGCCACTGACTATCCAGCTCCATTTTTGTTTTGTTTTTTTAAGATGCAGCATTAAAAGTGAACCCCAAATGCCAAATGTGTTATTTCGTCATTATTAAAGTTATACTTCCGTAACGTTGGTGAACTATAGTTACTAATAAATTTGTTTCTCCGCTCGTTTTTTCGTAATTTTCCATGTTGACCTAAAAGTACTTTCGAGCAGGGACCAACGTGCATCTGAAGAGAGGTGAATCACCTGCAAACTCTACTCGCAGCTGCAGCACATCGATCAACTACGATTCATGCAAACACACATTGGTCTGTGCTGACCGGAAAAGAGAAGCAAATAAGATAATAAAATACCTTTCAATACAGGGTAACGAAATAACTTGAAAAACTAATAGAGGCAAAAAGTCCAACTGGGAACAGCTAAACTGGGGTGCAACACTAAATGCTGGCACAACTTAATGATATGTTAAAAGTTAGAATAACATAGAATTAAAACACATAGACAAATAATAATACATACTACAGTAACCTAGCAGAGCGACATTGTTAACTTTTCGCTCGTTTTAATACATGAATTACCCTCTTACACCATAGAATTTTTTCGCAATAGCCTAATTTTTGTAATTCCGACAAATGTTGCTACACTTTAGAATGTAAAGGAAAGCGGAAAAGTTGAGCCAATAATTGACAATAGCTCCTTCCCCTCTTCCTGACTCTTATGTGTCGGAAAAGAGTCCGTGCGGCTGCTCCAATATAAGTAACGGAATTTTAAATCTCCAGAGCACCACACGCCGACTCCCTCTCCAATGACTAGAAGCGAAAAACATATTAACTAAAATTTTACCAAAATTCTGAATTATCTTTGCAATATTGTTATCAGTCGAAACTATCCGTAAGTTTAGTTATGTAAACTCGCGAAAGGCAAGGTACTTCTATTATTACCACTACCCTTACTTTCATAATTATAACTACTATTACTATAATTACTACTATTATTATCATTATTGTTATTATTATCATTATTGTTAATATTATCATACTATTAAACTTGTGTTATCATTATAAGTTGTTATAACAACAGCCAACGTTGTTTCTGTTTAAGTATAGTTGATGTACCGTAGCACACCGATCGTTTATTCACCCAAACATTAACTTAAATATTAAGTGATTCTCTCCGTTCTTTCTGCAACAAATTTAGTTGAATAAACGAACAGTGTCCAACATTAGTAAATACTAACAATATTCTATCTGAACAGTAATATTAAGACAAATTAAAGTTTTTGTAAAATTTGGATGAAAAGGAGAAAGGAAGGGCATGAGTAAGTAAATCACCTTCCCTTCTCTTGACGCACGGAGGAGAATGAGCCGGATGTGGGATGTACCAATTTTTCAGTGGCTAAGCTAGAGCATCTCTAGCCAATTATATCTTTGGCTGTTGTCTTTCCCCTTCAAGATTTTTCTGGCAAATTTTCCTGCGTCGTCTCGAACCAGCGCGTCTCAGAGGTCCGCTACTCCTTATAAAAAGGCCCGGAGGCCTCGAGAAAAAGACTCGACGATAGCCCTTCAAGGTAGACTGAGTAGTAAGAGTCCACCTCTGCTACAACCCAGTCTACTGCAAAGCGAGGCACAGTACAGTTCAAATTTTACCCTAGAACAGTTGACTGGATAGTTAGAGTCCGTCTCTGCTATCCCACGGTCCTCCACGAGTGCCGTTTCAAAAGTTTTAACCTCGGACACTTCACGCTGGTTCTCCGCGTGTACATTCTAATACTAAAAATAAAAAAAAGTTTTTCCAAAGTATTAAAATAGTTAACTGTGTTTTTCTTTTTTGCCGCGAAGTCTGCATAATTGCCTATTACGGCATCGATAAGTTCTAAAATCGCGAAAATAAGTAATCAAGTGTTTTTCGTGAATCTAGAGCAATCACATTTACTCCGGATGGTATTGGTTGCTCATAGATCAATCGCGAACTCAATCTCATACGTCGCGTAAATCTGGGATAATCACCTTTTACTCCAGATGGTATTGGTGGCTCTTAGACCGATCGCAAACTTAACCTTATACTTCTTTCCTTTACGTAAATTCAGAGCAATCACATTTACTTCGGATGGTATTGGTGGCTCACAAATCGATCGCGAACTCAAACTATTTTTTCCCCTTGCGTAACCTCTAGGGCGTAACTACCTTTAACCTCTAGATCGTGGACGGGACACTAGTTTGACACCATCGCGTCAGGTATTCCTGACGAATCAGAGGCTCGCCACGAACGAGTGACAACCACTTCAATTCGATCAGGACAGTCGGGCTTCCCCTCTTTCGGACGCCCTATTAAGAAATTAAGCTACCTTTTAGCCCTGCGTCCCACCTACGCGCCCAGTGCGAATCCCGAGTTATTGAGCGCAAGCTTAGACTTGAATAATACGTCACGCCGACGTAACACTTCTATAGGCGCGTTATGCGTGAGGATAAATCAACGATTTCAGATTGGTGACCTTGAGAAAAAGTGTGCTGGAAGTAGATATTACATGTTACTCCGCCTCCGCCAACAAAAAAAAACAAACAAGCAATTCCCACAGAGACTTGTGACCCCCGACTTTCTGCACAGTAGCCGAGGGCTTTACCCACTCTGCTATGAGCGGCCCCTACGTAGGAAATTCAGTTACTGCATATTACCTTGTAGTTCGCAACTTATTTTAATGTAAATTTTCATTTACTTTATATTAGTTCATATGGTTTGATTATAAATTACATAAATAAATATTTTATTTCATAAACTAGTTGTCTTAGTCAAATGTTTTTTTCTAAAACTTGAAGATTAGTATATTTTAACAGAGCACCTTTATGTGTTAATAAATGTTTATTTACTTATCCTTAATTTTTTACTTTTACAATAAGTAAATAAATGTTCATATAGTTTTTTCATATTTTTTCAAAATTTTTAAAAATAAAAAAAAAATGTTTTGTTTCATATAAATACGGTAACTGATTTATATTGCGCTTTTTTCTTTTTCAATTTTGCCATTTGTGATTGAAGTGATTTTTTGACTCAAGGACGATCTTCAGATAGTTACCAGAGGAAAAGATCAGAGAGATCAAAGGAGCGCAAATATATGCAGCAACTCTGGCAATTGTGTTTCTCATATGGACGTACTTACATACATGCTCTTAAGCATACTTGGTCCCTTTTTTCTTGTGTTATTCAAAAAAAAAAGAAAATTATAGATCTATTTGAAAATTTGATAGGTTTATCTAAAAGTAATCTTTCATACCAAAAAAATTGGAAGATTTTTACAGATAAATGTAATTTTACGTGATTTTTTGGGTATTTTTTATGCTATTTTGAATATGTATGTTTGATGTAAATAATACTTGTCCAAAAAAACCTACGTGTGATGGACGTCTTGAAGAAATATTCACTGGTATATAATACTACCCTATTGAAGAAAGCAGTACTGCACGATGGTTTTTCTTAATTTTTCAGATACAATTATATTTTTGGTATTAAATATGGACTAGGGATAATTGTGTGACTGTATGTGACAAATGTGAGCGTGACGTTAGAGATGTAATCAGCGTAGGCAATAGAAAGCAGTTTTGAAATCATTAGAAGATTCGATGAAAGCTGTAGTACTGGCTAGCCTAAATATTGTTTGTATTGTATTGTCCCGTAATATAATGTTTATAATCGTTAATGTATTAAATATTAAAATAATTATTGAAAACATATCCAATCAACGTAGGTATACTCATTTCCGCTATAATTGCACCACCTCCGTACACAATATTGTATCATAGAAGGTATTTTTATACTTATAATTATATTTTTTGTCAAATAATTTCATAAAAGAATACTTTATACTTGGGTACCAACGTACCCACTGTCCACTGGTTTTCATAAATATCTTAAGAGAAAGCATTATAATATGAGTTAAAGTTTTTAGAGCTGCATTATTTAGTATTTGATCCAAAAATAATATAATTTGTTATTTTTAACAAGTTTTATAAGGCTATTTTTATTGCTGCTCTATATGACCAGTGTTAAACTGCTCATCATTGTTTGTTTGGCAAGTGTAAGTTCAGAGCTTCAGAATACTCTAAACTACCATACTTTTAAGTTTCAACTAATTCTGTTACAATTTACATAAACAGGGCAACGTCCTAAGCGATATAATAGCGTAGTTCCAACAAAAAGAGAAACGTCAGTGTGAATATTCTATCACTTTAATTTCAGTTTTTTAGGGACTAAAGTTACAGTAGAAGGTATTACACAAGATAAAAGATAGAAATAGTAGTACACAGCATCCATACACACATTTATATGTATGTATGATTAAAATGATCTAAATATTAATAACATATAGAGAAAACAAAAATACTACTCACTTTGCAGCCCGGTAAAAAATGGCACAACCGTCCACATATTTTCGATCATTTTCAGCCATTGTCTTGGCTCTAGATTTTGGTGAAAAAATTCCTTCATACCCTTCCATTTTGAGTTCTGGCAGGAAAAAGTTGTAAAACTGATCAGTTTCGACTTCCTGCAAACTTATCAGATCTGCTGCGTAATGCCTAATCTCGTCGAGTATGCCTTTTTTGCGGTATTCCCATTCAAGGGCCCAACTTGGGCAATAACCGTACATTTGCCTCGTAGCATACTTGTCGCTCAGCACGTTGTAGCACATCACCGTGAAAATGCCTAAAAAAGATATTGGAACGTCATTAAGTTAGTGGTGATTGGCTGATGAAAAAAGAAATATATATTTTTGCTGATGAAATGTCAATAATTTAAGAACTGTGTATAAAAAGGCATATTATTAATAATTGGTGGATTAATTCTTATAAATGGTAACCATCAGATGTCATATAATTATTTTAGTACAAAACTTATATTTCAATAAAAAGCTACCCAAAGATACTAAAATATCAAATATCAAATAGTCCGAGCAATGCACTGGTCCAACTTTCACAATGTGGTTCTAAATAAACAATTAACAGTTGATCGTTGAACGTGTAAATTAAATCTGTAAGAATATTATAGTCACTAGATAAGATTCTTACTCACTTGTGGAAGTTTAACTTACATGCTCCGTGTAATTACCCTGTCAGAATCGGGTTTATCTTTCAGATTTGGAAAAAACATTCAAAATCAGCAATTAACAATACTAAATTTTTAAAACTGTCACAAAATACGTTAGAACAAAGTGTGTTATACTTGATTTAGTATAAACTCGCAATAAATGACAAAAATTCAGATGTCACTATAAAAAACTTCACAAAACACTTAAACATCAATTATAGATAGGTACAACAAACGTTCTTAATTTTTTCTTTAGAAAGTTTTTTATTAGTTGTATTTTGGTGTAAGATTATTTAGGAGTCCTTCTAACACGAGACCTTAAACACAAGCACCGTTTTCCTTTCTCTCAGTTGCTACGGTAGTAGCATTATACTATACTGATAAAAATATCCACAGTAATTGGGGCGTATGGAAAAATCTCAGAGGTACCCACGAAAAAGTGACGGGGTCTGGAACCCAAGCCCTCCAGGCGGAAGGTAATGTGCTCAATCACTCAAGATACTGGGAGCTCAGATTTCATTGTTACATTAGCTTCTTTAAGAGCTATTACTTTACTCTTGTAAGTACTGTTTTTAATTATTAAGCTTTTGAAATTTCCACTTCAACTTATTGCTATAAATCAGTTTACAATATCATCTTCAAGAGATGATTAATTTGAAATTGAAATATTATAGCATAGGGGTCAGCATACACATTTTATTGGGCTTAAATTGATGTTTCACTATTTGTAGTGTTTGATTTATAATTAAGTTCTTCAGCGGAAGATCATCAAAGATATAACCGTCAATGCTGTCGCTGTAGGCTCAAATTTTGAAACTGAGATCTGCTCTCAATAACTTCCGAGCCTTTATCAACCCCACGCGTCAATGAACACGGCTTACATGCTCCTGTTAAACAAGTTGTGTATTCACGATATATGCGAATTGAGAAAAGAAACAATATAAATCCATATAGAAAAGGTACATGACTCTAATGCTTGTAGATTAGTAGAAAATTTAATATGGCTTTAATGAGTATACAGGCGATATTGATACATTTATCATCGTATGAATTGGTGCACATATATAGATTGCAGCACTTTTATACAAGCACTTTTAAAACCATTAATACATGCCCCTTATCGACAACAAATATACTAAAGATTCATAATCAAAAATCACATATTTTTTGTTTTAAGAAAACTTTTTAATAAATAATTAAAAATGAAAAAAATACTCTCCCTGGGTGTGGATCGAATACACAACCTCCTGTTTACTAGACAGTTGCTCTACCACTTGAGCTAATTTAGTATACTTGTTATCGAAAAAGGGCATGTACTCGAACAGAAATTATAAGTAGGCGATCAGTAGGGCCTACTTAGGCTGCCTCTCTAGACTACTGAGGTCCTACGTTGGCAGTGTCAGGAGGCGTTTGGTAGGCCCTAAGTAGGCTACCTCAATTGACGTAACATAACCACCTTTCAATTGATAAATATAGATATGTACGTATGAGAATACGCATTGTATTATAACTAAACAAAAGTCATGCTTCATTTCAAACAAATTATATTTAATTTTCTATGAAAATTTTTATCACGTATTCTACATATTGATAAATATTGCAATTGTTTTTAATTACTTCGCCAAGTACTTTTGTCTTTGGATTCCTTAAAAGATTCTACATACAGATAAAATTCGGCACAAAGAATAAAAAATTTTTTTTCATTTTACGCAAAACCACGAATAAACCGCAAATTCTTGCTTTTTGTTCTATTTGATTATTCTAAAATATATTTGTATTTATATTTANTTTGTTTTTATTTTATTTTATCATTTTTTTTTTACACGTAAATAACAAAATATGAGCTAATTAATTCTACAGTCACAACCATAAAAATTCCATTATTTAAACAATTTGGAATACCTTGTCCATTTCTCTTTATTAAAAGTTTAACATAATGGTTAAAAGGAGGTTCGATCGTTTTTCCCGGGGGGGTGAGCGGGGGCTCCCATAAGACACCGTGTTAAAGTAAGTTGTACTAACCGTGCATGAAAACGTTCGCCTACTGCATCACGGTTAATTTAACTGTATTCAACTCGTCAGTACTCAAAAGTTATACCATTAAATGTTATGAGCAAATTATGGTACATACTTTAAAGCAGCTTGTTTCTGATAGTTCGAGTTAAAAAACTTGAAAACATGTTGTTTGCATGATAAAAAATAATCTAAGAAAAGTAAGAGGAGACTCAGCTTTCGTCAACAAAAGTGTGTTATAAATTTAAAAAAAACAAACTTTTTTTTGCACAGCATTATAGTTTGAAGTCTTAAGAAAGGCTGGGCCAAGTTTCAGATCATGATTTCCGGTTTAACAAATTCTAGAAGCAATTTTGTAAAGACGTCTCGCTCCATGTGAAGAGACCAACTGACAGCAGACGATGCTCGGTTCTCTCCCATACACTTAGCATAATAACTACTCACGACTTTGTTTACGTTTGCACAGATATTTCTTCCAAATACCTGATAAGGTGCACATTTTTTGACACATGAGTCTTCCTTAGAAGTAAAGCTATCAATTTGAACTTTTTTCTTATCATGAATAAATTTCTTGCCTCGAAATTTGTGCAACAAAGGCTGAATAATCGCTCTCACCCACAAGAGCAATGTTAAATCATGCAATTTTGGGAATTTTTTTCTTGAAAATTGGGCAGATAAAAAATATTGAAAAAATTCATATGTACTTCCAGCATGGTAAAATACAACATTAATTTTTTTTAGCGAGTGAATAAATCCCCTCAAAAACGATCGAACCTCCTTAATAGAGTATCAATAAATATATCGCTTTCTTTTATAACTTTGCTTCTCTTTTTTCTTTTCCGGCATTTTCACTTACTTTTGCTTACAATATTTTTCTCCTGCGAATTTAATAACGATTTCTGTAAGGCATCTTTTAAATTTAAGTGAGACATGATAATCATATATTATATTTGACCCTTTGATTTACTCGTATTAAAAAAAGTTTTTATCATCTCTTTTGCTAGTGCATGAAGCTCAGAACGTCTCAAGTTTTGTTTTTATGATGCCTTTCCCAGAATATCAGGCAGGAACGTGTTACTACGTACCATGTTTACTTTTACATATAGTAAGTGTAAGGTCACAGAAGGTATGTTACCTGGAATCTAACAAGTCTGTTTAAAAGATAACAATGCCATGCGCTCTGAATTTTCTCGACTTTTCTGAAATAACATACTTATACTTCTAAAATGGTTTTTGAGAATTCCAAAAACTCAAGAAAATACAGGAAAATTACGTCGATTAGAATACCTTAATTTAAAATCATTATCAGAAATCTTACATTTCACTGGCTGCAATTCAAATTTAAATTTGTCAATTTTCTCGTGATTTTTCTTAATTTCGCTTTTACACTCGCTATTTTGCGCCGTTAACATTTGCATGCACTCTTTATGCGAATTGAGTATACGACATACCAAATAAAGAGTTAAATCTCACATCTTTGTATTTTAGCATTCATTGCATATCTAATCTTTTACTCGATTATCGTTTTTCCAAAATGTTATTATACGTAGTGTACAAGTATATGACTCGTGTCCTACAGAAAAATTTGTTTGTGATGTTCTCTTGTGTGTGTTTGGTTCTTTGCTGGTAAGAGAGTCACTGTATTGACTAATTATGAAGTCATGGAATTATGGCTCACTCTTGTACACATGACTATAACGTTCTGCATTATATTAAAATTACTTATCGAAAATAATTTCCCACCCCTCAATACCTCGCATAAAGGTAATATAAAAAGAAGCGAGGAAAGGCTTGAGTATCTGTCATTACTCAATATTACGAGTAAATCAGACAACCCAGGATAAGTTATGGGATCCCTTACCACAAGTCTAAAAATTAATTCAATTATTTATAGGATCGATATATCATGAATATGTAAATGTATTATTATAAAGCATGTGAGTTATCATGACAGACACAAATTTATATATGTAAAAATTGATTCATTGATCGGACACCATGCCTTACAAAGCACGTCGCACTAGACTAGTACAGGAGATTAGCTTAGAGGTCCGAGAAGCAAGTATAATTGACCTGCTAGGCAGAGACTTTTGCGCTTAAATCTGATGTCACTGTGACTTGCTAAAACAGTAGACCTCGATTTCTCGGCAACTCACTGTACTTGCTCCTGGTGAGGAGACTGACGGCCTGTTCATAGTCCTCATTTGTTGATGTTCACTTGTTGAATTCCTTTTTACTATACTAGACCTATGCGCTGCACGCTCGTTCTGCTAGTATTTTTCGAGGTAGATGTAAGAGCTAAGTACTAATCTTATAATTAATAATTGTAGTATTTTTTTGTAGCGGTTTTCCCAAAACAAAAGATAAAATGTGCTATTTTTTTTAGTAATAGCAACCGATGGTCATATAGCCCCTTTTTATTTTGTGGCAAAGTAATGAAATGATTTTGAAATAAAATAACTATAAGAAATGAAGAGAAAGAAGGGAAAGGAAAAATCTGCTGAAAAATTTGTGCTTTTTAACAAGTAATTTTAATAAGATCAATTTTTGGGCAAATGAGCAGAAAAATAAAAAAATTAAATAATTCAAAATTCAGAACAGCTTTA